TCCCCAGCCAGCCTTGCTGGCTGGGGAATTCTGGGAGTTGAAGTCCACACATCTTCAAGTTGCCAAGGTTGAGGAACACTGCCTTAGGTTCAGTTTTTTCAAGGCTTCTTGGGAGCCTTGCAAGCTTGATAAGCAGTCCCCCTGTTAAAAAAGCTAGATGCAAACCAAGAGAATTGGTGTTTGGGATGTGCGAGATGTTGGTTTGTAGCTTTGGCCACATAGGATGACAGGGAAGAGTTTGGGATACTGCAAAAGAGTAGCGTTACCTTCAGAAATAGCTTGATTTCACCGATCATTGGGGAAAGGTGGTGTCTTCAATCGGAAATCTGTTAAATCTAAATTCACATAGTTTATGTAAATGTAGGTACTTTGCATAATGGTGTAATCCGTGTCATTGCACCCGTTATCCAGACCAATTTACCAAACAACAGACATTTCCGTTATTTCGGGGCAAAACCACATTTCATCCCAGGCATCTCACGCTGATGGATTAGGAAGCCATGAAAGGCTGTGGTTTCTCGCTCCAGGAGGAGAGATCATGGCTTTGGGGCAGGAAGGGATGGGGGGAAAAGATGATTTACACTAGCAAACAAGGACACAGGGAACAGTTCACGGTCCATTAGTGCCATCGTGATCCATGTCTCTTGGAAGTAGGGAATCAAGTTGCAGCAGTTGGTGACACCTAGCTGATAGTTGGCTCCCCAAAGAGCTAAGTTAGTACTTGGAGAGGAGACCACAGGGAAATCTAGGCTTGGAGGCTACACTAGGAAGTCAAAAAGCAAGCCACTGCAAGGCGTTTCTGTTCTGCTGCTAGGAAAACTTGTTAATTTTCAGTGGGTACCCTTGTGCTGTGAAATAGCCACCTCCAGGAGATGCGATTGGCCCCCTCCCTCCCTCCCCATTTTTAGCTTTCCACCAGTTATTAAAGCAATGATTTCAAGGCGCCTTTGGAAAAGAAAATAATGCCCCTGGGCTTTGTTGTGGAGTGAGTGTGTTCTACATTTTGCGTAGCAGTGTGATCTTTGTTATTGAACCATTTTAATTTTACACCACAGACCTTGTAGCACCATGTTCCGTGTGACTCAGTTGTGAACCGCCAACAGCCTTCGGACTGTGGTGGGTGCAGATCCAGCAGATAAAACAACAGTAGTCCTCAGGTGTCCAGTTCAACTTGGGACCTTCCTTTTCTCTCCTGGCCTCCTCACTTTGTTCCTCTTCCTGTTTTGTAATACTAAGCAGAGCTTCTATAGGCATCAAGGGCTTAAAACGTGGCTCCTCCACCAGGAGTTGGGCCAGGACATTCGTTTTGTACAATTTCTCTATTATTCTCTTTTTTATTGTTTTATGTTGCATGCCGTCCAGAGTTGGGATGGAGTCAGGAGCCTGTAAAGTTAATCCATAAATAAATATCTGACAAGATGCCCCAGAGGCGGGGGAGCTGTGATCTTTCGCAGATCACCCCACAGCACAAGGACAGAATCACAGTCTGAACCAGTGTTTCTCAACCTTGACCACTTGAAGATGTGTGGACTTCAACTCCCAGAATTCCCCA